CGTGATTCAGTTTTCTTGACCTCTGCCATGACTGGGTGCACACTGCAGCAGGGAGGGTGCCAGCCCTTGTGGTTTCCTCCCTGGGTGGCCATCACCACAATTCATACTCATCAGGTCGTGTCTGGTCCTGCTTTGAAAGAGGAAGCTCCCTGTCTTGGCCTTGTGCAGCGGAGATGAGGAGAAACAGGCTGGGAACTCACCTCTCACCACCAGCTCGACAGCATCACTCTGCTGCATGGCCCCGACCCTGCTTTTGGCCTCGCAGTAGTACTGCCCAGCATCTGAGGGCTGCAGGCTGTCCCACGCCAGCTCGGCCTGGCTGTTCAGGAGCAGGGCTTGGCCTCCTGGGGTGCCGCGAAACCAGCGGTAGCTGATGGGGGGGGACCCACTGGCCACGCAGGTCAGGCTGGTCCTGGCTCCGGCTGGCACTGTCAGCCCCAGCTCTCCGGCCCTGACGATGGGCTTGGTGGCCGCAACTGGAAGAAAAAGCAAGCACCCAGGTCAGGTTGGCCCTAGCTGCAGTGGAGAAGGTGTCCCCCTCCATCTCAGGCTTTGGCTTTCAGTGCTTTCCCAGGAGGAAAAGGGGCCCCACTCTCATGTCACATTTTCATAGATTAAGCTCAGTTCACTTGTGCCTATAGATGGTTTACACCAGCTAAGCCGCCACTGCCACTGCCATATCACACAAGTCCTGCTCTTCTGAGTGAGTGTCCCCCTTGCAGAAATACTGCTATTTCTAGCACACATTGAGGATGCTCAGGAAGGGGAAAAGACAGATTTGGCCACTACAACACCCACTTGCTGTCCCACCTGCTACAAGAACCACAGAGGCACTGACTACCTGCACAGAAGTGTATCTGGATGTTATCTCAAGCACCCATCAGTAGATCCAGATTGGGATGAACACTAACTGTTCCCAGCCCATCCCCACACCTCCACGAGTGGAGAAGAAGGGCTATCACAGCAAGTGAAGAGGATGCCTCGACACCCAGCCTGGGTATGGGTGGGCAGTATGGTGTGAAAGACCTTTCCCACCAGCTGCTGCTTCTCCTTCACGCTTGGTGGATTAAACCGGCTACACAAGAGCAGGGCTTTATTGCTGGGTTTACCTTTGACAACTTTAACCGTAGTGGTCAGCTCCTTCATTACCATGCTGTTGTTTTCAGCTCTCCAGGTGACTTGACAGGTGTAGTGTCCGCTGTCAGGGATTTCAAGGTTCTCAATTAGGAGCGAGGCGTTCCCTGGGCTGTGCTTTGGGATGCTGACCCGGTCTCGGAACCGAGACAACAAGACGTGGTCACCAGAATTGTCCCTCCGAAAGATGGTAGAGGTGCTATAGTCCCGCTCCACGCTCCAGCTGAGCGTTTGCTGTGTGAAACCTTCTGAGGGCACGTAGGTACATGGCAAAGTGATGGATCCCATCCATGTGGCCGTGACCTGGTGGACACCAGACAGATCCAGGAGGGCTGCAGGGAACAACAATTGAAGGAAAGAAGTGGGAATGCAGCAGCGGAGGAGAACGTCCTTAGGGCAGACAGAAGTCACCAGGAGGTAGAAGCCAGCGTGTGGTCATGTGCTGTGGACCACAGCTGGCTAACCCAGAGCCTGTCCCCACCCCACCGAGCGTGGGGAAGTGAACAGTTGCTTTGACCTCATGGTTATTTTTGTTGTTTCTCTCTAGACACTTGCCAGTTCTCAATTACTTCTCGGTACAGGGGCACAAATCCTGTGCCTGGTGGTAGCATCACAGCTACAGCCTTCACAAGACCTTGAGGAGCATCTCTGATCCCTGCTCTCTGTTCCCAGCCTTACACCCTACCTCTGCTGCTTGGCTCTCTGCTTGTGCTTGCACATGACGAGGCAAACAGCAATGGCCTCCCTCATGGCATGGGATGCTCTGACAACACCACTTGCAGCATTGACTTCTGCCTTTCTGCTCCATTTCTGACATGGAGCTTCGGTTTTCCTTTACCAGATGGCTTAGAGAGGGCAGGCTTAGCTCCATTCTTCAAACTTCACATCCCAGTGAAATGTAACTCCTTGATGTATCGGTTTTTAAAGGTTTTCCATTTCTTCTTCTTTTCCCAGACTCCCATCAAGAAAAACTAAGAAGGGTGGAAGCTACTGAGAAAGCTGCTCAGAAACACCCTCAAGGCATTTGGTGCACTCAAGTTCAAGTGTGTTTGCTATCCAGTGTACCATCTGGATGCAATTTTGTTTAAACATCTCTCCCATATTGTTTTGCATTGCTACATGCCATGAAATAGCTGAGAGCATCCACCAATTCCCTGCAGAGCAGCTGCACTCTGTACACAACCCATTTCAACATTAGCAGGGATGAGTCCTAAGGAGAGCCGATTGTAAGGAATGGGAGAAACCCAGCAAAATAAAAATCCCTGGAACAGCGTTTTCAAAAGAAATATTTCTTCTCAGTAACACTTTTTAAACTGGGATGTAGTTTTCCAGACAAACAATGTGAATTCTCCTAACAGAGAGGTCAGACGAAAACCTGAAGGGCTATGATAGAGTTAGGCTGGTCAGAAGGATTAGTATTGTCTGCAATGCATGACAACAGAAGAAAAATTGAACTCATATTCTGGCCCATTTTGTAAAACAGTTGAGCATCTTCCTTCCTAGCCTGCTGGCAGCAGCTGTCCTGGGGCATGGATGCACCATGCAGGCAGGAGCCTCTAGGGATCTGCTCTGAAGTCCTGGACCTGGAACAGGAGCAGTGGACCAAACCCCATCTTTTGGCCAATCCTATCCCATTTGCTCTGCTCGTAAAAGCATCTTCTTGTATCTGATACCAAAGGAGACTTCTGTGAATTCTCAGGCTCTAGTTTTTGTGCAAGAAGGTAAAGACTTTCCAAACGTGACAATTTTTTAAAAATAAGACACTATCATTCAAAATATTCCCCCCACCCTCTTAGTACTCTGACTTTTGTTCTTATACATAGAAGCATTTACTCACCGTCGCAGCTGATGAAAGCCATGGCAAACACCACTGTCCACACAACTCCTCCCATTCTCCCAAAACTGCAGGTCTGTCCTTTCCCTGCACTTTGTGAGAGACCCCACGCTCCTGGGTCCAGAACACAAGTGAAGGACACTTCCCTTTCTTCTGCCCTTTGTCATCTAGGATCCTCTTTCTGAAACATCACGAGTCCATTTCGCTGCTGTCTTAGGTGAAGGGTAAAGGATGGACAGAGACTGTAAGGATCTTTCCAGTTCCACTTCATGCTCCCCTGTCCCCACTCACTTCTCTTCACTTTTCGGACTGGCACTCCTTTATATTATTCTTCATAATTGTGTGCTTCTTTTTTCTTTCTTTTTTTCATTTTTGTTTTCTTTTCTTCCCCATCTGCATTCACTTCGCACTGGAAGAGCTTTATGATGACAACACAGTCAAGCAGGTAGCAAGGGAAAGCAAACTCGAGGATGCTTGTGAAGCATGAATTCAGTTCCCTCTGACTTGCGTGCGATGATACTGCTCAGCATCTCCCTCCACCACACCATGAGGGCTCTAAACCAGGCATCCAGAAATTGAAAAACACAGGTCTGAGAGCACTGACTCACTCAACACCGCGCAGGAGCAGAGACCTACTTGGTGATGCTCAATTCCATTTTCGTAGCATCTTCTGCTGATGGTACTCAGCTCTTCCACATGCATGTACCAACTTCTACAGCAACAAACTCTCTGAGGGCAACCCCATCCACCTTCTGAGTGAGGTGGACAACCAGCCCTGGTTTCTTCGCTAAACAGCCTGAGTCTTTTAGTCCAGAAAATTTAGGATGCCACACAAGGCATTGAAAACTGGACACTAGCTCCATTTTCCCAGTCAGTAAGCTGATAAGAACATTGCAGGTCTCATTTCAGTCTCCAGGTGGAGTCCTGTCTGCTCTTGGATGTCTTACCGAGTGTGATTGCAGCTGAGCTCTGCTTGTTGCTGCAGTAAAACTTTCCTGTGGCAAGCATGGGCAGCCTGGAGCATGTGAATGTGGTGTGGCAAGACTTGGTGCAACAAATTCATGCAAGGTTCCAGGCTGAGAGCTACCTCCTGCCGAGATAAGCAATGGAGGCAGCAGCACCACCCGTCCTTGCAGAGCATCTCCTTGCTGGTGCAATAGAAACTTGATTTTTGCTGCCTTTTCTTCTTGATTTCTTTGCTGAATCTCCCAGTGTGGTACCAGTTTGCACTGCTTGTGACCCATCTGCCTACTATGCCACCAAGAAGCCATTTGCTACGTCTGAGTCCTGCCTAAAAGCAAACAGAGAAGCACTGGTTAAAATTCAAGCGCTGTCACTAGAAGAGTGAATATAAGTCCTTTTTCAGAAACGTGGTTTAAAACCAACCTTTTGCACACCCTGGCCCGTGATTGGTGATAGAAGCTTGTCCTAACAAACTAAGTCCTATACAAAAGTCTTTAAAGAAGCTGGAGTTTGGGGAACATGCCCTGGAACAAGCTGAAAACCCAAGCTAAAACTGCTGATATCATTACTTTCTTAACCAGACATGCAAGACTTCCTGAAGCTGTAATCATACAGGATTAAAAATTGACTATTTAGCTAAAACAAACATAAATAACTGTAGTTCCTCAAATATGATGAACATGACATCTTTCTCTCCCTGGGACAGAGACATAGCTGCTCGTTTTCTCCTCCCTGAGTCACAGTCAGCCCATTTCTTTCTTAGCAGAAGGACTTCTCATGGTTTTGCATGTGAACACATGAAGAAAAAAGCCTTTAACATCTCAGACATTATGGCTAGTTACCTGGTTTATTATAACAAAGTACATTTATTTCATACTGATAAGAGGCAGCACAATAAAGCTCCCATTTCCCTGAACCTAAGTGCAGATGGGACCTCAGACCTTACTCATAGAGACCAGCTCTGCAGAGCCTGCATCGTACACTTATGCTTTGACGTGGTCTGCCAGAGGTTAGAGAGGTTTGCTGCAATTTTCCTGGTGATGAAATAAGATTTTCAGCCTGGAAGAGGGCAAAATTCAGTACCAAGGCCACATCGCATCACCTCAGATGAGCCTTGGGCAGCCAGAGCCAAGTCCCCATTTGGGTGGCAGTGCCAGTTGTGATGAGGTACTCTGAGTGTACCAAGCATCTGCTTTCCAGTTCCTCCATGTAGCACTAAAGCCCCATATTCCCACTGCAGTGAGTTTTGTTTTGAACTCAGACGAATGGGCTGTTTACCAGCAACAGTGGCATTCCCTTTCCACCCCCTCCCTACTGAACACACACACACACACACACTTTTCTAAAAAAAACCCTTTCTGAAGAATGAGAACATTACCACAGGACTCCAAAAACTGCAACCTCATCTAGAATTAAAAGATTAAGAAAACCACGAGTTTCCCAGAAATTTCAACACTGTTGATTTGTCATCATATTAACACATTATCCAGTCATGATTTTTTTCTTGTTCTCTGGAGCAACATGTCCTTTTGTATCCTTACATAGAATATAATTGTGTGCCTTGCAGTGCTATTGCAACAGTTATCCCCCCCTCCCCGCTTAGGAAGGAAGGCTGTCAGGCTTCGCTGGCTTTTGACACTTCATTATAGAACTCATTTTCTTCCACATGCTAAACATTTCATTAAACATTTCACCAACTCTTGCATCTTCCGTTCCTTAAACTGTGGCTGACTACAGCCTGCAAGCATCTCCTGGCCCCACATCCTGAACATGTCCCAAAATCCAGCAGATTCACAACACTTCCTTTGCTTTCAAGTAGAGAGAGTCAATCTGCTCCTAAAAATGTAATTCCTGGGCACACACAGAGACGTTCACACACATCCACCTTTATATAGGGAAAAAAAAAAGAGGTATAACAAAATCTACTAATTTGGCAGTCCTGAAGTTTAATGTTTTTCATTTGCTTCCCCACATCTGCAATAAGCTGTATGTACATGTTGAGATTTCTTTCCCAAGACATCATCACCCACAAAAGCTGCTGTTTGTTCCCTTTCCCTTTTGAAATCAAGCCCTTGATTTTTAAGTATATTCTTAACAAAGAGATAAAACTTGTGGTACAGGAAATTCAGGGAGAAAGTGCAAGGTCACTGCCAAGTACCTGTACAGTGTGCCTGGATGTTTGTGAATTTTGGTGAACTTTTGTACCATTCATTCCTCTAATTTCTCACTGGACCTCTGTGTGCTTTGGGTTTTCAAAGCACTGAAGGACTAGCATTGCAATCCACAGCTATTTCTGTATTGCATAAAAGAAGTACTTTCCCTTGGCCTTTAAAAGTGCTGCCAGATAATTTTAGCTAATGTCTGCTTTCTTTTCTCCTTGGAGAAATGGTAAACATACAGCCCCAATTCAGATTCTCCACACTTGTCATGATGTAGTACACTTTGCTCATTTTACCTCATTTTGTCTTTTATTCAAGCTGAGAAATTACACTGCATTTGCACAGAAGTGGGTTTATGCCATTAATCACCATTCATTATAATTCTCGGTAGCTTTTCTAGCACTGCTAAACTCTATCAAGAGATACGCATACATAAGGTGGAAGAATCCCATGGGTTTTTACAGTATCACAATCCTGTTTTCAACCGCATCGTAATGGTTTTCCTAATAATACCCAATACTCTTTTTGAATGCTGTTGAATTTTGAGCTGATGGCAGATGCAGATCATTCCTGAGCATGCATAGCAAATTCAGGGGCCACTAATCCTGTGTCTGTGTCACTGATATCTCCCCCACCCCTCAGGTCAATCATTTTGTTTTACATCTGTCCACATTGCTGTTGGTCAGACATGGTATTGCCCTATCATTCATTATAAGAAAGTTCTTCCATAACTCTGCAGTATCCACATTATAGATTTAGTCAGCATAGTAACAACTGTTAATAACAAAGCTTTGCAGCTCCCTATTCACCCTTCAGGCCTTCTAAGCTGGAAAGAGAGAGCTTCATGAGTATCTACTGAGGAGCTGTGAGTGCTTACTGGCATTTTAAAGATGAGCAAAAATGTTCATATCAAAATAATTTAGGGACTTATAAACAATCCTGTCCACAAACATGCAGAAGTACTGAATTTCTTTCAAATATTAAGCCTGCATTAAAAGAACAGAGAAGGTGAACTCAGAAAGGCTGTGCCTTGTTGCAGCATCAGGATTGCCCAAGCTGTCCAGCTCCAGAGCTGTAGAAGTGTCTGCATCTCATTGCGAGTGCTGCAGAAAGGGACATTGAGTACAGCACAGTGGGTCCAGGGGACATTTCTGCTTTTCGTGCTGCGGCTCCTAGCGTGGTGAGGGTCTTGGTTTTATCCTGGCTTTAATCTGCCCATTCCCAGGCCAGCCGCCTCCTGTGCTTCTCACCCAAAGATGACGGAGATGCTGAGCAGCCCTCAGTGCTGGTTGTGCCACATGAAGGCTGTGAATGCAGACCCTTTTGGTCATATAAAGCAGTAAGTTTAGTACAGTGCTCTTGGCCTGGGATCCACGTATCCTGGCTTTCAAAGGACTTTCTCCTACTGAGGTGGTGAAAGGGAACCAAGAAAAGCAAAATCAGAACATCTACACAGCAGCCTGTAACTGAAGTTCCTGAAGAGGTTTGTGTTTTCACTGCAGAGATTGTTAAAGCTCCACAAATCGTGGAGGAACAGAAACTGCTTGTCCAACCTATTTTTTCAGAGGCAAAGGTGAGTAGGAAGATAAATTTTGCCTGGTCGAAGGTAGGGGAATCTTCAGGACTGCTACCTGTAAAGCACTACTGGTGAGCTCATACAGTGTCCCCTACTTCATACTCAGATTCCTGTGTGTTTGCAACACAGTCATTCTTATTTGTATTTATTTCTTCAGGTGCTCTGTTTCTCGTGGGCTCCGTCACATAGTTGTTTTCAGTGGAGGCGATGGGTTCCTCGTAATGACCCATACTTTCATGCCTTGAAGATGCTGCTCTTGAGTTATGGCTGAAATCAAAACACAATGTGAAAGAGGAGTAGCAACCAGAGCAGGCAAAGCATCTCCCAACCAGCAAGATTTTGAGAAAGATTGTGGTATGA